CCTTTTTGTCTTTTTTCATGACCGGCAACGGATCGCAACCCTCAGTGTCGCGCCCGTACCGGACCGGGACCGGGACTGGCAACGGGATCGCAACCCTCGGTGTTGCTCCCGCACCTCGCTCAGCCAGTGAGCGGCCGGTCTGTATGTGGGATCCGAACCCTCAGCGGGAGCGCCGCCACTGTAGCAGTGCGCCACCGGGCCAGCCCAAAACCTGTAAGGCTTTCTAATTAGCTGTAGTGCAAGTCAACTCAAAGGTAAGATTTAAGAGAAATTTCAGAAGAGCCACTCTTAATGCTCTTTAAGTTCGAAATTAGATGCAAAAACAAAGAAAAGCTTTCCCAACATGTTTGTACATCTCTTCCACAATCCTGACACTTCCTGGACAGATCCTCTATATATGCAATCCTGTCTGGCCTCTATTACTCAATACCAGGTTGATGGATTTTGATAATTATATAGTATGCTATTTCCCCTCTTAATTCTTCCCACAACCAAAACCTAGACATCCCAACCTACCAAATTTCCTAACTATAAAGGTTTTTAAAAACTTATGCTAATTTCAAAATCACAATATCATATTTGGTGCTTATGTAAAGATTCCTTAGTACCACACCCAATCCATACCATACTAATTTAAAAAAAAATTCTAACTAGTAACCATCTTTACTATGCATTCTATGTCAAATGTTTTTAATGGTTATCTGGTTTTGAAAGGCCCTCCATACCCTCAAAATTAAAAGCCTCTTGAGTAACCTTAAATTAATCTTAAGAAGGCAGACAAGGGCCGGCCCCGTGGCTCACTTGGGAGAGTGCGGTGCTACTAGCGCCAAGGCCGCGGGTTCGGATCCTATACAGGGATGGCTGGTGCGCTCACTGGCTGAGCGTGGTGCAGGCCACACCCTACTGGGGGCTGTGATCCCTTACCGGTCAGAAGAAAAAAAAAAAAAGATGGCAGACAAATCTTATGTAGGGCTATAGAGTCTAGTAGAAAAAGAAAATAGAAAAGTATAGACAAGATGTTTTAAAAATTACCCTTCAGTACACTTTCTTACTAGCTATGTCATTTATCAGTAAACATTTACCAGTGGGTGACAGTGATATTTGCAGTGATTATATCCTCTTGCCCCTGAATGTTCCAAAGGGATGCTGGTTAGAGGGTTAAGAACCTCAAGTCCTATAGGGAGGTACAAAATGATGGTCTAGAGAACACATCAAGGTTACACAGGACAAAACAAGACGGAAAATTAAGCATTTAGAAAGGAAAATGCTGAGAGAACTAGAAAAGGACATATAGCAAGTTGTTATGTGAATATAATCCCCACCACCAAAATGATGTGAATCTCTCTTGAACTCCATCATTCAAAAATGTTTTTTTTTT